TCAAGGAGCTTCTTCCCTCACCACAACGTCCGCTGGCCGTACAGCAACAACTTTCACGACCGGTAAGAAATATTAAAGCCGGCTTCTACATTGTATTATCATGTATGACACTGTTTGTTTATATCAGACTTTTTAGGAGCCTCCAAAAAATACAGCGGGCCTGGCGCAACTTATTCTCGCGCTGCGCTGAGTCACCGGAAAATGGAAATAGCGACGCTAATATATACATGTTGAAAGTTATTGAAAAATGACAATCTAGATGAGAAAATTTCAATATTATTTATATCTACAGTTTTGGCGCAAGAATATTACATAATATTGCTAAAAAAGAGAACGCCTTTGCCTCGCTGGCCCGTATCAATTTCTAATGTTATCATGGAAGTTTATCGTGTTGCTATTCATGCTAAAATAATGTTGAGCTGTTCAACTTCAATCTATGCCAACACTACATTATCATGATCATCAGGCGACCACACATCGGACACCGCATCCAAACGTCACATTTTTATTCACAGAGAAAACGCTAACTTCAAACTCCGGATATTTAGCTTTGTGGAATTCAGAAGTTTTATTTAGCGTGACATTATGTCTTAAAAATATCACTAAAACGAAGATTTTCTGGACAAAAAAGATAGATTAATGACAATACATAGTCAGTTCAATCTTTTTATGTTAGCTTGTGGTTTAGGTCAAAGGTTACGCGCGAACTTTGAATCAGAGTTGTTCGAGTCCGTCGCGCAAATTGTGCAGGTAAAAAGTGGTCATTATTTGAAAAAGACAGACTCGTGCTTTCTGTCAGTTGATATTAGAAGCACTAAGCAGCAAAATTTGACAGAAAATATGAAAGCTGGCGGTGAGGTTAGCCTCTTTTTGCGGGACTTGTAAATGGCCGGGGGGAGGGGGGCGTCTATAACTCTCTACATAATGCGATAGACTCAATTTGAGTCTATCGCATTCCATACCAGGCTTTCAATATCAATTGATTAAAATAGTTATTTTAGGTAGTTATTTTTATAATCTTGACATGTGATGATGTGACCCACTCAGTGTACATATATATCGGACGTTAAACTGCCAGAGTTACATGTATGTGCTAATATTTGCTCCTGTTTACACGCACACACACACACGCACACACACACACACACACGCACGCACGCACGCGCGCGCGCGCACGCACGCACGCACGCACACACACACACACACACACACACACACACACACAAAAAAACAGTTAACGTTACTCAAGCAACTGGGTATGATTTTTGAGCTTTTTCCAAGAGCACATCCAGTTGCTTGAGTAACAGTCTGTTTTTTGCCATTTGTTATTAACTTTACCTGGATGTCTAACCTTCCTTGACGTTTGCTCGTGTTTATATATACATGTATATATTATATATATATATATATATATATAATATATATATATATATATATATATATATATATATAACATATAACGTTGACGTTATATATAATATGAACATATTACAATGATTTCAGAATGTGTGATTGGGAATGGCGTGACGTATCGTGGCAGCGTCAGCGTGACGCAGAGCGGCCTGACGTGCCAGCGGTGGGACTCCGACACCCCGCATCGACCGGAGATTCACAAACGAGAGTATGTCAACGCCGGCCTCGTGGAAAACTTCTGCCGCAACCCCATACGCGGGTTTTTCGGCGAGAGGCTAGATCGTCCCTGGTGTTACACCACTGATCCACAGGTTATATTTCAAATCTGTGACATCCCCCAGTGTTCAGGTTAGTGTTTAAAAATAATAAGAATTTAAGTGCTCACCCCCATGAAATAGAGAGAGGGCGGTATAAGAACTTAGCTGTGTGTGAAAGAACTTGTAACTATTGCTATTGCATGTCAAACAAGGTGGAAGACAAAACACAAGAGGCATTATTTCAAACCGCCCCTTCTACAGTCACGAAAGAATGGGCCTATTTGAAGAGGCCAACAAATTCCATCCTAAGTCCTCCACGTTTACAGACAAAAAGAAAACTACTCTCCTCTTAACATCACAAAACACACACATTATAGAAAAAGTGGGATCATACATCTTCCATTGTCTCAGAAAAAGAAGTCGAACCAAACAGTTAGAATTTAGTGTTTAGTAGTTAGTAGTAGTTTAATAGTCGGTCTACTAAAGGAGTACACTTTGCCACTTCTGTAGTCTGGTAGACGCCATAAAGTGTTATGGATGAAATCTGTGCGTGGATTGATTTTTGCCTAGCCTGATTTCAAAATTTGTTCCTCTCAGACACAAGAACTGTTTGCAGAAGAAAAGTATCATCTATTACAGTATTGCCTTCATACCAACAGAAAGTACTACAACACCTCCTATGCCATCTACGTCAACAATAACAACAACAATAACAACAACAACAACAACCACAGTGACCATGCCAGAACTGACATCACCTACGGAGTCCTTTACACATACACGTTAGTACTAGTACATGTACTTGAACTCATCATCCAATATTCTAACATTCAATTCATTGAAATGTGCTCAAAGATTACTGTATATACCATGTCACATAGTTTTTAATCTGTACTGATGTTACAAGTATTATTCCATATTTTGCTGATATCGTTTAATTGACAAGTATTTATAGAAACTTGATTGACATTTCTTTTCCTAAAGCTTTGCACCCAGAAGTGCTGAGTAGTCCGAGTAATGCCAGTAAGATCGTTATCGGGGAAACTGTGATGCTGACTTGCACGACGAAAGAGTCAGATGGCTCGTATCACTACAGCTGGGAACTGGATGGTGAAATCCTTCCTGCGGAGACAAACAGAGTGTTTCTGTAAGTGTTCAATACATCTATCAATCAACCAATTGATCAATAAATTGCTGTACATAATGAATTCAAGAAACTTGAATTGTGTCTGAATTGTGTTCTTTGAAGAAGGCATAATATCCTTGTTACTACAAACACTTTAACAAACAAACACTTTAACAAACAAACAAACAAACAGTCACGAGATCAGCTATTTTGCTTGCTTATTATCAGTAGATTTCATCTTATTAAAAGATAATTCATACTAGATTTTTATTATAGTAGATGTTTCTTTTTCAGATGAAGCTAATTCCTCATATCATTACAATCCACAAAAATACCTACTTTTAGATACATGGAACCTTTCAGAGAATACCAATATATATTATTAGGTAATTTCAATATTTTTCTTTTGCATATTCAGGTACACAGAAAATACCAATATATATTATTAGGTAATTTCAATATTTTTCTTTTGTATATTCAGGTACACAGCCCAGACTGAAGGGACACATATCATTGCCTGTCACGTGTTGCATCAGTCTGAACAGTACACATCATGGAATCACATACTCATCCATGTGCTGAACAAAGGTATACACTGTATATTCAAGAAATGTCTTTATTCAACAACCAGTGGGTTTTCACTTCTGATGTCTCAGTGACCGTTTGTCACATTCTTTAGGGCAACAATGCATGACTCAGGTTCTGATTATAGTAGTCTGCAGCTAGGTTTCTCTGCTGCAATTTTACAAAAATGTAAAATGTTGTCACATTATATATTGTCAAGCACAGCAATGCTAATAAACAAATCTTAGTTACAACACTCTAACACTGATGGTGAATTGTGGAAGGAACTTACTTCATAATATGATAATTATAACAATCATATAAGTTGCAATGTAGTTACATTGTAATGTAATTCAAACTGGTATTTTTCAGATCATACCGTACAGTTCCTAAACATTCATGGATAATCAATACAATACAATACAATCCCAGAAGTCTGAAATCTCTGATTTCTTTTCTTCACAAAGATAACACATTGTTTATAGTTTTCTGCAAAGTAAGACATGTCTTGTGGTTGTTATTTGACATAGACACCGTCACGCTTGCCTGTACCATGACCTTGAGACTGAACTTCACCTCTGACCTTGAGCAGCTTGATTCACCTAGAGCCATGGCCCTTGTGCAACAGATTGAACTCTGGGTAAGAACTATGGATGATTCCTTGAACTTAAAATTTGTCTAGTTTTGAAAGTGTCAGAAATAGTTTTCTTGTGTAATAATTTGTACTGACATGATCAAATCATGTTGTTATACAAAAGAAATATAAAATAATTGCAAAATTCTAGTAGATGTTTCAGATAGATGCTATCTTTCTTTAGTGCCTATCTGTAACACCTGACTATTCAGGGTTCCATTTCTTTGGTTGTTTGATTTATTTTATAACATGTATTGTTCTACCTTGATGTATAACCTTCATTAATGTATAAATGGCATGATTTTGTATTGCAGGTACAATCAGCTGTGCAGAATAAAAGCATTGATGGCATTGTCAGTGTGAGAATCAAAGCATTCAGGTAATGTTAAATCTATATTTGTAACTTTTAACAAGCATTAAAGACAGAACATGCCTTTCTTAAAGTTAAGACATACATGTATGTGCAGGATGAAATAAGGACTCTTATGATATTTACTTTAATTTCTGAATGGATATGCCAAATAAAATTTTTCCTCAAAATAAATTTTACCAAAGTAAAACCTTTTCTTTACCTTTTAAGTTATTTCCTCCTGTGCCCAGCCCTTAAGTCTTTGAATAGATAAATATAGATTAACAATCTATATTGTGGGCCCCAATTCTTTGATGATTAAAAACTGTCTTTTCTTTCCTTTTCCAGGCCTGGTAGTGTAATTGTTGACCAGAACATCTATGTGGAAAATGCTGGAACATCAGAGGTAGAGCTGATACCTAACGTGGCGGCTGCCCTCACTCAAGCAGCTAGGGAGGATAGTCTTCTCCCAGTAGATCCAGAAAGCATTGGAATGAGGAGCATAGGTATGTATTCTTCATAAAAAAAGGAAGGCCAGAGTGACTGGTGGAAAGCTCTAGGTGAGAGAACTTTTTTGTGTTGTGTCTTTCCAGCGTCTAGCCAGAAATGCAAAGAATCAAACCTATGACCTCTCGATCTCTTGTACACCTGCCTTCTAGCCACTTGATGCCACCAAATGGGGATCTAACCAAGATCTGGGCAAATTAACTGCAAAAAAACTTGCCAAATGAAAAACTATTGTGAAAGAAATTTGAAAAAAATGATCTGACTCGTATATCTTAAAAAAAAACTAATTTTAAACATAATATGTAAAAATTGTCGTTTGAAAATGACAACTTGAATGTTAATTTTTTTTTTCAGTTCAGTGTCTGGAAGAAACTGTGGAGGTGAATAATGTCACGCTGACTTTCCCAGCAACCTCAGGGGGCAGATTTGCATATTCAACAGAAAGATGCCCCAGGACAACTTTGGATGGTAAGGCTTTTTAGGGCTCAAAATACCACCTGCATAATGTCATGCTGGTAAAATTGAAGCTGTGCCAGTATTTCTGATATCTGTCATATTCCATCAGGCTTTCTATCAATTGATTCAAATACCAAATACATATTTCATTTAATTTAGAGCATATTCACATGTGACAACACATGCATTTTAAATTTTACATATCGGTTAATATCACAAAAACTGCTTGAATGCTAGAAATTTGACCATTGACTCTAAAAGCAAAATTTCTCATCCAATATAACATGATAGTCTCATAGTATGTTTGTTGCTGTATGGCAATAGATGACATAATATGTACCTTTTACAATTGTTATGCAATAAGATATATATCATAAATCTGTTTTCCTCAGGTGGCCTTCCCAGGGGCAGTAGGAGCTGTAGTGGAGACATTGGAACAGGAATGGTCTGGTCCCAGCCCTTCTTACTCAACTGTAACCATAACCTTCAGACACTGGCTGAGGTACAGTCTTTGTTTCTCTTTTCAATGCAACTAAGTACGTGTAAAACCTTCCTGATCTTCATTCGTGAGGACAAGCCAAGAAATACGTGTTTACCGAAGGAAAACATAATTGTTTTTGCTCTGTTTCTTCTTCCTGTTCCTCTTCTTCTGTTAAAAAAAATAAGATTAATTACCTGAACCAGACGTCTGTCACCGTGGTAACTAGTGTTGGGTTACATCATGTTGTAATTTTATATCAGGAGAGATTTACACTCCTGTCACCATATTATATGTATATGGATGTGTTTGAGTAAGAATTAGTAGAGCAGACCATATGCGAAGAAGGTACACACTATGAATGTTACGTTTCTTAATACTTTTGCTTTACTTGTTTTTAGACCAATGTCACAAACACAAACCTGGAAGATGTTGCAACGGCACTCCAGTTGCTGACGTTAGATGGCTCCAGTCTCACTGTGACAGACGTGACGCATGCTGCTCAAGTTCTGGACAACATCGCGACTGTTCCTTCTGTTGTTCCAACTGATGTAAGCTGTCATCCATATGCCACCACTGCCACTCACTCACTCACTCACTCACTCACTCACTCACTCACTCACTCACTCACTCACTCACGTCTATCACAATCACACATAGCTACAAGCTGAAGACTGAAAATGATGTGGCCTTTGATAAACACACTCAGGGAGCTTTGACCTAACTTGTGGTCAACATCCTCAATGTGCCACACTGACTCACTCACTCACTCACTCACTCACTCACTCACTCACTCACACACTCACTCACTCACTCACTCACTCACTCACTCACTCACTCACTCACTCACTCACTCACTCAATGTGCCTAGCGTGTGGAAACGAGTTTCCAATTTGACCCTCCTGTAAGTCTTTGGATGCACTTTTCCCCCCATACTTCCTGTAGCACTACCGTATTGAAGTAACTATGAACACACAAACAAACAAACAAACACAACAGAAACAAAACTCATAGTTATATTCACAAAGACAATTATAATGCCTGTGATAGCTTATTTAAATTCTATGTAACAGTAAGTTGGATTGTCAAATTTACAAGCATGTCGGCATAACGTACTGTGTCTGTGTGAAATCTGGACCATATTTAATAACATGCATCATACTATTATAGTATTTCTAAATTATCACCTTTACTCTACAGGTTGGGTACTCTGCTCTGTACACAGTGAATCAGATACTGGATGCACCAGAGACTGTTCTGAAAGATACTCAGTCCATGGGGCTGCCACCATCCAGGTATACTAAATGTTTTGTGAGCTTTGTGAGCATTTCGTCCATAGAATTTGTTAACAAATGACAAAAATATATCTTGGTACTAGACAGCATCTTTACAAGTAAACATACCTGTCCTTGGTGCTGAACACTATCCACACACCAGTGAATATGCCTGTTCTTGGTACTGAACACTATCCACACACAGGTGAACATGTCTGTCCTTGGTGCTGAACACTATCCACACACAGGTGAACATGCCTGTCCTTGATGCTGAACACTATCCACACACAGGTGAATATGCCTGTCCTTGGTGCTGAACACTATCCACACACAGGTGAACATACCTGTCCTTGGTGCTGAACACTATCCAACCATCATACTAAATGTTGCTTGCAAGTTACTCCGAGTAGTTCATAATATATTCTTGGACAACAAAGAGTAAAGAAATGGGTATTTCCTTTTACAGCCAGAATAAGACCAGGGTTTCTTTCTTATAATCTTTTTTATGTTTTATTTGTGACAGAATTGTCCGGTCCTTGGAGCTCATGTTGGATAAAGTCAACCTTGATGGGACCAGGTTTCACAGAATCCTACCTAACATCGCTGTGGATTCTATGGAGGTATTTGTTGTCTTACTTACCTGAGTATCTGAGACAAAATATAATACAGATGTCACTTAGAGTGCTTCAAATCTTGAGGTTATTGCTGATAAGCATTCAGCAGTTAACTTTCAGAAAAGATGAGTGTCGTGCACATGATGTGGCATTGTATGGTGTGGCAGTTAGGGCATTTTGCTTAGAACCCAGAGGTACTGGGTTCAAATCCCCTGACACGCCCTGATGTTGTGTCCTTGGGAAAGGCATACAACATTCCTTACTTCACTCAGATGAAAATGAGTTGCTTTGGTTAGGGTCATCCCTCCAATAGGGCAAAAGGAGAGAGCATGTAGCTGACCCACCCAATAACAATAGCTGTTACAGCAATGTACATCATAATGACAGCAACCATAATCCTTGTACTGTCATTGTATCTCTTCACTAGTTGTAGAAAATATTTTGTGTGACTGAAGATCGAAAACACTTTCTTACCGCAATACCATCCCAGGTTCCTGTCAGTGCGTTCTCCCGTGGTCTTGGGTTTGAGTGGCTGGAAGGAGAGGTGCTTTACACAGTAGAAGATGGGCAGAGAATACTGAAGATGCAGGGGGAGGGGGGCGCAAGATATGCTGGACAGGTGGAGGCCTCCATCTCCCTTCCAAAGTCTCTCTTAGACAAGACAGGTCAGTCTTTTACTATCATGAAAGTTCATCTGTGTTGGTCGTTACATGTTTAAAGTTAAAACTTTTGGTCCAACACTAAAATTCTCTCACCTAGAGCTTTCGACCAGTCACTCTGATCTTCCTCAGTAGACTGACCCAGTGAGGCTTGTCACGCGGCTTCTTTGAAGTGTGACGTCACGCCAGAGTGACTGGCCGAAAGCTCTAGGTGAGAGAATTTTTGTGTTGGATCAAAAGTACAAAAGTTGGATCTGAATCTGAAAAGTTTTAACTTTCAACAGGTCAGTGTTTTATTGTGTTATCTAATTGAGTCAGTATCACTGATTACAGTATGAATATGGAAGGGCCTAGGAAGAAAGTGTTGTGTTTCCTGTTTCCTGACCGACCCTAGAAAAATCTGCTGACCCTAGACTTTTTTTGGGGGTGGACCCCTGCAAGGGACAAATTTCTAGCTCCATGAACTGACACCTGAGTGATAAAACCTTATGCAATCAGTTTCCCAACATTGACATTGAAACAGGAAAAACAACATTTTTTTCCTAGGCCTAGTGTGCATAGTCCAGAAGTTAGCAACTCTGCTTGGACCATGGGGTTGGGAGTTTGAACCCCAGCTGTTGTTGCTCACTTGTACACTACTGGAAGGGGCCACAGTCCTTATCACGGGACATTAAGCCGTGGTCCACTGTTCATTGTGTTTGTTGAAAAAAGCTGGAGTAGAGACTGATTTTTTTCCTTCAGATTCTGAAGGCCTGACTCATGTGAGACTAAACCTGGTGGTGTACCAAAGTAGCAAGCTCTTCCAATCCAACCAATCAGGACAGTCGACAGAAGGGATGCCCAACAGCAGGGTCCTGGCCACCTGGATCACTAATCAGTCCTTCCAAGATCTACCCGAGCCGGTCAACCTCATATTCCTTCCTTTGCAGGTGAAATAAAGGCATTTTAATCTTGTTTTTGTATTGGTTCATCTTTCAGATTGTAATCTTGTATGGTATGATTCCTGGCATTTCTGGCTAGTCATTACTTTTGAGACGGAAGTATTGTTTTTGGTTGTGCTAATTGATAGTTTGTGTGTTTGAGTTGAGTCTGCACTGGGACCTGAGCGACAGGGTCGTGAACTGGGTGTGGTTTTGGGGGTTGTCAGGGATGTGTGACGTCAAAAATTTAACTTATGGTGTAATCGTGGGGTTAATTTACTTCATACAATGGTATGAGTAGTAATCCATTGTGCGATGTAATTCAACAGGGTAGTTCCCTCTGATCATACAGTACAGTTTCAAAATATTCTGCATCATGTGGTGGAAGGAGATCTCTAGAGGGATGGGCTCTGCCTTCCTATACCATTCCCTAGACACAGTGTATTAACAAACCTTCAAAAAAACTATTATAGAACTTTAAACCTTGTTCCTACCTGTAAGCTTGTATGTATTTCGGTTACATTTTTATTTTCTTCATATTTTGCATTTTTATTTTCTTCATATTTTACAGGAAGACAAGGCGGCACAAACTAATGTGTGTGCTGCGTGGGACTTCTCATTGGCTGGGGGTGTGGGGGCGTGGTCACCCCAGGGTTGTACGTACATGGGATCAACGACCGATGGGAGCGCCATGTGTTCCTGTAATCATCTCACCAACTTTGCCGTACTGGTGGTATGTGGGCAAGTCTTTACAATAATACCCAATGGATGCATCTTTCATTGGCTTTTATGAACACACAATACGAAAACAAAATAAACTGAAAATGTATTTGCAAAGCAAATTCATTAATTTTGTGTTTACCTTCACATAGTTTAGCTCAACAAACTACTGCTAATTCTTACTAAAACACATTGATTTTCATATGTATGGTGACCAGCCCTTCCAACTTGCCACATAATGTAACCTAATGTCACAGGGTGCGTGCTACAGCACCAGTTACCATGGTGACAGACATCTGGTCCAGGTTCTTGACCTTTTGTGTTTGGAGAAGAAGAAGAAACTGAGCAAAAACAATATGTTTTCCTTCTGTAAAGGTTAACATAACAAAGAAGTTACTGACAACTGAACTTTTCCATTTTCACTCCCAATGATTTTACAATTATGTTGTTTTTTTCCTTAGGGTCATCAGGACAAAAAGCATGAGGCACCTCTGAGCCTGATCACTACCATCGGCTGTGCACTGTCTCTGGGTGGCCTGGTCATCACACTTATAACTCACCTGGCCTTCAAGTAAGTATATTGTCTCTCTGTAGTATTGATTCAGAAGTACATTAGATAAAGATGATATACTGCTTTGGGTAGTGGTGTGCAAGCAGTGTTCAGCACTAAGGACAGGCATCTTTTTCTGTGTGTGGATGGTGTTCAGTACCAAGGACAGGCATGTTCACCTCTGTGTGGTTAGTGTTCAGTACCAAGGACAGGCATGCTCACCTGTGTGTGAATAGTGTTCAGTACCAAGGACAGGCATGTTCACCTGTGTGTGGATGGTGTTCAGCACCAAGGACAGGCATGTTCACCTGTGTGCATGTATGGTGTTCAGTACCAAGGACAGGTATGTTCACATGTGTGTGGATGGTGTTCAGCACCAAGGACAGGCATGTTCACCTTTGTGTGGATAGTGTTCAGCACCCATGTTTACCTGTGTGTGGATAGTGTTCAGCACCAAGGACAGACATGTGAAGATGCTGTTTAGTACCAAGAACAGGTATATTTTTGTCATTTGTTTACAAATTCTATGGACGAAATGCTCACAAAACTGGTATTCTTTGCAGGTCTCTACGCAGAACAAAAGCACATTTCATCCTCATCAACTTGTGCCTGGCACTGATAGCTGTACTGGTGGTGTTCTTTACCGGGCTGGAAGGCGCCAAAGGCAACAGCATTGGCTGCATGTCTGTGACTTTCCTGTTGCACTACTGCCTGCTAGCAGCTTTCCTGTGGATGGCAGTCGAGGCATTCGTGTTGTACCAGGCGCTGTGGAAAGTTCTGGGTGTGGAGACACATCTTACATGGCGGTTTGCACTGGTGTCTCTTCTCATTGGCTGGGGTAAGTAGCAATGTCACTCCTCATTGGCTGGATAAGTAATAACGTTATTCCTCATTGGCTGGAGTAAGTAGCAGCATCACTTCTCATTGGCTGAATGACCAGTAACGTTATTCCTCATTGGCTGGAGTTAGTAGCAGTGTTACTCCTCATTGGCTGAATAACCAGTAACGTTATTCCTCATTGGTTGGGGTAAGTAGCAGTGTAACTCCTCATTGGCTGGAGTAAGTAGCAGTGTTAGTTCTCATTGGCTGAATAACCAGTAACGTTATTCCTCATTGGCTGGGGTAAGTAGCAGTGTTACTTCTCATTTGCTGGATAACCAATAGCATTATTCCTCATTGGCTGGAGTAAGTAGCAGTGTTACTTCTCATTGGCTGTATAATCAGTAACATTATTCCTGATTGGCTGGAGTAAGTAGCAGTGTAACTCCTCATTGGCTGGATAACCAGTAACATTATTCCTCATTGGCTGGAGTAAGTAGCAGTGTTACTTCTCATTGGCTGTATAATCAGTAACATTATTCCTTATTGGCTGGAATAAGTAGCAGTGTCACTCCTCATTGGCTGTATAATCAGTAACATTATTCCTGATTGGCTGGAGTAAGTAGCAGTGTAACTCCTCATTGGCTGGATAACCAGTAACATTATTCCTCATTGGCTGGAGTAAGTAGCATTGTTACTCCTCATTGGCTGGATAACCAGTAACATTATTCCTCATTGGCTGGAGTAAGTAGCATTGTTACTCCTCATTGGCTGGATAACCAGTAACATTATTCCTCATTGGCTGGAGTAAGTAGCAGTGTCACTCGTCATTGGCTGTATAACCAATAACATTATTCCTCATTGGCTGGAGTTAGTAGCAGTGTCACTCCTCATTGTCTGGATAAGTACTAACGTTATTCCTCATTGGCTGGAGTTAGTAGCAGTGTCACTCCTCATTGGCTGGATAAGTAATAACATTAATCCTCATTGGTTAGCAAGTGGGGAAAGTAGACAATATTACTACTCATTGGCTGGATAAGGAATACATGTAACGTTATACCTCCTTGACTGGGTAGTCAACAATATTGCATCTTATTGGCAGGGTAATCGACAGTGTCACTCCTCGTTGGCTGTGTTGAATAGAAAGTTTGTAGTACTGGCTTTAGATCAGTTTTACTCCTATTTTCTGCACTCAAAGAAAATGTGAGAAAAAAATACTGGCAAGCACTAATCTGATAACTGAATCTACCTTTTTTTAACTAAGTGATGAAGTCAATGAATAAGCCTAATTGTCATGTTTAATGTTTAATGCTCTACTCAATTTCTGTATTGTGTTGCATTTCTGCCCAGGTCTTCCAGGGGTCGCTGCTGGGATCACTATTACCCTTCACCTGGTGGTACCTGTTCCTGGATACACGTCAGACACCCTGTAAGAACAACTGGCAATTAGTTGATATTTGCTTGACTAGAATACATTTGCTTCACTTGTGCTGAAATTCGACAATGAGTTGTACAGTTGAAAATTTGGGTAAGTCCATTTTTGGTGTTAAAGAATGACTAATTGTATTAATTCTCAAATGAAGATGTTTTTTTCCTCCCCAGTTGCTGGATGTCACCAGGAGAGTTGCTGTACTTTGGGTTCCTGGTCCCACTGGGAGTCATTCTCCTCTTCAACACCATCATGTACATCATTGTCATCAGGAGCCTCACATGTGCCTACATCTCAAGGGGTACTCTCTCAGTTCATGTGAACAATTCAGTTATAGGATATTGAGAATTTATGCATTGTACATAACCAATGCTTCTCTTACTTGCTTATGTTTCAATGTCTATTGGAATCCAAATTGTCCTACTCCTACAATGGAAGAAATTTTGACACGAAAAGTAAGAACTTAGTGTTAGCTATAACATCATGATAACCTTGGTTGTACATTGTATTAGTGATTAGTGATTATAATTTATGTGTGTGCGTGCGTGGATGCATGTGTGAGTGCGTGCATGAGTGTGCATGCATGTGTGTGTGTGTGTGTGTATCTGTGTGTGTTTGAATGTGTGTGCATGCATGTGTGTGTGTGTGTGTGTATGTGTGTGTGTGTGTGTGTGTGTGTGTGTGTGTGTGTGTGTGTGTGTGCATGTGTTTAGCACAATAATCATTTCATACTTGGAAATGTGGAGAAAAAAAGAGTGTTTAGTTACACATAAGATCACTTTCAAGAGCTTGTTCAAATTAAACCTGTTGGTAGAAAAAGATTTGTTTTTTCTTACATAGTCTTACAAGTTAGTGTGGTGTGTAGTGTAGTGTGGTATTATTACCTTGCATATTGCCCTTGGTGATTAATTTAGGCCTTCTGCATTTTAACCATTTCTTACATACATCATCTCTGTATGTATTCTCACCAGGTAAGTTGCTGAAAAACAAGAGGACGCGGAAACTGCGAGCTGACATCCTGACACAGCTGAGGATCTCTGTCACTGTTATGGTTCTGGTGGGGCTGACTTGGGGCTTCGGATTCTTCCTCTACATGTAAGCCATATGCTGATTGGTCACCACAGTTGACAAAAGACACCTGATTGGTTGTGATTGATGTAATTCCTATTTTCAAGGATACCCTAATCAAAGATATAACCAGTGCTGTGATTGGTCAGGATACTAAGTGAAAGAGCCTGATTGGCCAAGGCTGGTTTGATCAGACTGATGTACCCATTTCTGATTGGTCGGAATAGATCTTCAGTATATGGGTTAGTATTTGTGTGCATACCTCCAGGATTACTGATGCTATATTAGTATATTAGTATACATTCCAATTCATCATTTTTTGGAATGTGGCAGTATAAGTGGTAGAAATGATGATTCATTTTTCTTTTTTTTGTTCAAATTTCAGAGAAGACGCTGGGATTGTGTTTGCCTACCTGTTCTGTATCTTCAACTCTCTCCAGGGGTTCTTCATTTTCATCTTCCAGTGTGTCATGCAGAAAGCTGTACGGACAGCATGCTACAGGTGAAGTATTGTTTTTGGTCGTGTTAATTGATAGTTTGTGTGTTTGTGTTGGGTCATCACTAGTACTAGGACCTGGGGAATTTGAGGTTGAGTTTGACACTGGAGTGATGGGGCTGTGTACTTGGTGTGCCCTTGGAGTCATATTGTAGTTATAATTAGGGCTGGCCAGGAATGTGTGATGCAAAAATTTGACTGACGATGCAATTTTGGTAGGAGGTTACTTCATACAATGGTATGAGTAGTAATCCACTGTGTGATGTAATTCAATCGGGTATTTTGCTCTGATCATACAGAACAAATGTCATGATTACCCAAAGAGAAATTTGCTCTGTTACACAGAAAAGGTCTGTTAATAAAACAGTCCTTTTAGTTGATTGTTTTTTTTTGTTTGTAATGTGCATGGTTTCAAGATTGGAGTCTTTTAACTTGAAGGTAGCTCGAATGTACATTTTCCAAAACATTCACGGATAGTACCCAGTACAGTGCCCAAAGTCTGACATTCCGTCTTGTTTTCTTTCCAGTTTGATTTGTCGGAGGAAGACACGGCAATGGAGGTTACCAGAGACTGACATCATCCGGAAAAATGTTGCGCAAGACGTCACCGTGCCACTTACAGACATTGGCGACGCCACTGCAGATTAATACTTACAGTACTGTCTTTAGCCTGGGTACCAAACCTTTTAGGGTTGGCTTGGGGGTGATTTTCCTTTACTGAGCACACGTGATCTATACCCGCGTACCTATCTCCAGCTGGTTTGCCTTTCAATATAATCTGCTGGCTTTCTCTAAATATGCAGACCGTTGTGAGCAAAGAAACCTAAACCGTTTGCATAAAGCTACCCCCGGCGCGTGGTAATAAGGCGCTAGTTTGGCAGTGCGTGATGCTACCAGTGCCGAAGAGATAGCGCTGAGCTCAAGGCATCTGGTTACCAGGCTATAGTCTGTCTTTTGTCCCAATTTTTAAAATTTGATGTTTTTCGTTATTTTTGTATTTTGAAATTTGAATTTTTTTCTACAATATGATTGAATGAAACGAATACAATTACCTGTTACAAAAAATTTTTATCAGTTTGATATTTTGATGTATGATGTTGCGATAGTGAATAAGTTTGTGTACCATTTCTTATGACATTTCTTGATACAATATTATGTGCTGAACTGCACTAGTTTGTTTGTTAACTGTACAGTCTTTTTTTTCCGGTAAGACATATACGCAGGCTGACATTAGTATTTAAATTTAGCCATATTAGAATAGGTAGAATTTGCCAGTGGAGTTTGGCCATCATATTTGCCAGCCGATCCCTGTTCCACAGAAAAGTTCTGTTACCACATTTCTGTTATTTGATTGTTTTTGTTGATTGTATTGTGCGTGGTTTTAAGATTGGAGCCTTGTTACTTGAAGGAAGGTTTGATTCAGTGTTTTTGGATAATTGTTTGTTGCAGATAGAATTATTCTTTTGTCTTGTGTAAAGATAATTGCATTTTTGGATAAATATTTGTTGCAAATAGAATTATTCTCTGTCTTTTGTAAGATAAATTTTGGTGATTGTGTTTTGTATAGATATCAGATCTGTTGTGGATAAAATGATTCTGTGTCTCATTTAAAGATAATTGTTGGTTTCTAGTTGAAACATCAAGATATTGAAAATACTTCACAGTCTATGCGGTCTGTTTCTTCATGAAAGGTGTAATTATGTTATGCAGAGTTCAAATTCATGAAAATACAGAAGGTTTTTCTAGCAATTGCGTTATCATTTTTTAAGGATTTTAAGAAGAAATATAAGCCCCTGTAGTTTCATAACAAGCTGCTAGGGGAACCAAACCTACACCACTTATAATATCCTGACATGAAGTACTTTTAAATTAGTATCTGCCACCAAAATATCAAGACCATAATCGTTGTCTAGGGCAAAAGACAATGACCTGTCTCAGGTTCTGGTGCAGTTCTATGGAAAGCCGCTGGAAGGCCCAAAATCGACCTTGACCTTTCCTAGACCTACCCACATACCAAATTTATCAAATCCATTCTGACCCACAAATATCTTGTAACATGCATGCGCACACACACACACACACACACACACACACACACACACACACACACATACACACACTCACACACAGGCATGCACATACACACATAAAACAATACCAATTTTTTTTTTTCATCTTGGTAAAACAAGGTTTAGAAATGATTCTTTTACACTAGCAAAATCAGTGCAGGGGCATCGGATGCGTCCGCGTAGTTGGGTGCACTTCGAAGATAAATCGCAGAGGGGCTCTTTCGCAACACCGGCCAAACAAGTTGGTTGCTAAGCAACGGCATAGCTGAGGGAGCTGTTGTTTCAAGATGGCGGCCGCGACTTGAAATTCTTGGCGGGCTGAGGAAGATGACTATTCAATGTAGCCGCTTATAATGTTTTCGCAAGGTTGAAGGTTCTTTCCAGCTGCAAAGAAACGGCAACGTTTCAGAGATACCCACTGAACAACAAAGGTAATGAGATATTATACACTACGCAGCTGAAATGAGCAAGTTTATAATGTAGGAACGCCCCCCTCCCCCTTAATTAAGCCACGTTTAAGGTGCAGGTTTTAGACGGGCTGGAGGGTTGGAACTTGGTTTCAGCTATGTTAGGGGGTAGGTAAAACATAGACTAGCAGAATGTGCACACTAGCAGTAATGTCCATTTGCTTGGACCTTTCCTTTTGGGTAAAACTGGAACCTTAGCCAATGTTGACAAAAAGGAAGTAACTAACGTTGCTTACTAGTATTTGGCATCGGTATAGACGTTATATCCACTACAAAACAAGAAAATTAAAATCTTTTTTTTTTTTCGAAAACGGAACAGATGATATGATAATATTTTAATGTCAAGGTTTGCAGAATGGGGAGGCCAACATTTAGAACATTCTAAAATAAATAAACTTTATTGCACAGCAATTGTACAAGGTACAAAGTATGACATCTATTGCTATATAAAAACATAGTATGAGAATAAGCTACCTTACAAAGCTATGTACATGTATACATATAGTAGTGAGAACTTGCTTTTTTAATGGTGGAATTTCTAGCTAGTGTTCAGGCATTTTACAAATGCATATTAATATTTAATATTCTTCTCTTCCAAGGCTGTGACCATGCTGTCTGTAGACAAAAACTACCCTCACCTGGGAGGAGGGTCCAAAAACACGCCAAGGACGAAACAGCGAGAAGAAATACGACAGCGAAGGTTAGCGTACTTTGAAAGAAAGCTAGAGGAAGAAAACACTCCAAGCACAAATTCTACACCTCAGACACCTATGTCAAGTATAACACACACAGAGGCTGAAAAAGAAACTATAGATGCAAGAAAAACAAGAGAACACAGCCGACATGCAAGCTCTAAAACAGTTAAACCAACACAGCAAACCAAGAAACCAGGAAATAATAACAAAGAAACTACCAGGTCTTTAGGTAGGCGACAAAATGAAGGAGTTAAAGAATTGCAAACAGAAAAGTTTGATGCTGAAACCGTACGTAAGAGCTCACTTCTGTATCATGAACCAACAATACATGTTGACAAAGAGCTGCACTCAAAACATAGTGGAAAGGAAAAGATTGAGGTACCACACACAAAGCAAGCTCCTGAAGCATATTGGTTTGGGCTGGGTACCGATACCAAAATATCCAAGAAAGGGCCACAAGAAAAAAGTGCAAAGGAGCTCTTACAGTCAAAAAAGAGTCTGCAGAAGAACATGTATCGTGGGGATATGGATTGGACTGACAACAACATCTTGTTTACAAGTCAAGAAGAAAGTAAACCTAGAAAATACACAGTGCCAGACTATGGAGGTAACAGAGGAGACGAAACATACAGGGTTGAGAGCAACGGGAATATTAGGAACCGACAAGCAAGCATGGCAGTTGTTGAGGACAATGAAAAGTCGAACAGAGCTGTGAACAATGCAAGGACTCAAGATGGTGGCTATTTCCTACAAACAAAATCATCACCACAAATGGAGACAACCTATGGAGTCTTGGTTGAGGGGGGAAATGTTAAAACTGCCACTTCAAGAGTAAGGGAAAAGTCGGAGGGGCTTACGATTGCTCCTCGTGGTCAAGCCGAGGATGATCTATTGTTGGACATCTGGGGGTTGAAAGAATCTGACTTGTCAGGTAAAATTCACCTTGGGCACTTCCCGTGGAAGCCTACACAAGCCAGCGGGCTGAAGTTCTCAGGAAACACGCAGGCAGATCGTAACGTGCAGTACAAACGTCAGACAGATCCAGCTACTGAAGCGGCAGGTAAAAGTGAACCAAGAAGACACAAACTATTTGTGGAACACAAAGGACAATCAAAAGACGACACATCTGCACTCGTATACAGATCAGATCTTTTGGACGCTTCTCAGTCGGAATCCCAGATTGAAGAGCTTGGGCTGAAAACCCACAGACCAAGCGCTAGACCCATGTCACCACTAAAAGTTACCACCAACTTCAGACTCAATACTGGTATAGAAGACGATCATTCGGATGCAAGAGGAAAATACTTTGATTCGGTAAACAAATTTGAACTGACAGGAGAGAGAGCAGAAGGAAGGAATGGTTTAGGTGAAAGATCACGGGAATTTGGTCGCAAAACATTGTTTGAAGAAAAGACGTCACCTATGAGCAGAGCAAGGATAGCGACTTCTCCCCAGCCAAGAAGGATTGAGTCTACACGAGACTTCATTCGGCGCTCTTGGGATAAGAATGACTTTGCTAGACAAAGTCCGCCACAGCGTGCGCACCAACGGAAGCACAGCTCGCATTCCAAGACGTCCAGTTCTCCGGAGAGACATCTTGAAGCTGTGAGGTTCTATGTGGAACAGAAGCTGAGAAAAGGAATGGAGGAGGAACAAGTTGCCAGAGAGGGGTCTGTGACAGGGGAAGAGGAAAGTCGGACAGATTTTGTCGCTCGGTGGGTTCAGTCGGTAGAAAATTGTCCTGAAGACTCTGCCCAAACTCCACGACTTCTGGACGCAACAGAAGAAAGTTCAGCAAGAGAACACGAGAAAGAAGACCCACAACTCAGCCCTGTATCTAGAACGCTCAAAAATCTTGGACTCGGTCATGTCAAATTCAGAGCTGAAAATCCAACTGTTCAAGGACAAACAGAAGTGACAAAGATAGACACAAGAAACAGTGATACTGTCAAGGAAGATGGAAACCACGCCAAGGAGTCCACCTCACCACTCCTTAGCCCAGTCTCAAGAACGCTAAGAAAACTTGGGTTTGGATACATGAAGGGAACTCAAGATGGAGCAACAAATAGCAGCAAGAGGCTACTGGTCAAGATCTGTCCAAACTGTACAGAGGATAATGACTTAGACGCTGCTTGGTGCACAGAATGTGGCTCTGCCCTGGTTGGTATGGACTCATCGCCTAGCAACCATCACCATGGTGATGTCACCACACCTAGCAACAGCACACCCAGGGCTCAAAAACACCAGGTCAATGACCTACAGGCTGAAAGATACAAACTCTTTCAAGGGCAGGCAAATCAAGTAACAAGTAAAAGAAGTGGCGGTGACAAATTTACTGCTCCAGTTTCTGACAGTTTCAATGGTACATTCCCAAATAATCCGACTTCTCATGGTTACACAATGTCTGCAGATAGCTTTTATGCAAGCCACAAGGAAGCTACAGATGCAGCATTAGACAAGCATCTCACAGAAAATGTACCTAAAAGTTCCCACAATCTTCAAACTGTAAGCAATGCCCAAGACCCTACCCTTCCATCCAATGATCTCAGTGATTTTTTTGGCCAGCATATTCCAGTCCCAAGCTACAGATCACACGCAAAGTATCCTCTTCTAAGCCAGAATGCACATGTAGACAAGGATGGGAGGGATGCTAGACACTGGGACTGGCAGGGAAGCCCTTCTAAAGATGATGAACTCACTATGAAAATCTCAGAGGAAAGCCCGGGTCTAGAGAGAGCAATACAGCAACGTACTGCATCCGTTGAAGACATTAAAGCAAAAGAGCTACCTCCTGTCCAAAGTAGCGACAAGATCATATTTGAAAGATCCCGATCTAGTCATGATTGTAGCAACTTTGCAGAAACGGACAGTTGGATGGTGTCTTCACGCCACAAGCAGCTTCCAAGCAAAGAAGAGCTGCGTTTGGCTCTCGACAGTGACTCGAGTGATGATGACAGGCCGAAAGAAAAGAGAAAGCTCGTACAGAACACAAACATTCCTGTTGATGCAAGCTTAAGGAACTCAAGAAATGTCGATGCTAGAAACGACATGCTTGTAGAACACAACCCACAAGAGTCTTTTGAAGGAGACGAGGAATGGAACACACATCCTTATGGAATAAAAGAAAGACAGGATTCTACAAAACCAGGAGAAAGAGCAGCACCACAACTGCAGCAAAGCAAAGAGCCTCAACTTAGAAAAGGGAAACAGAAACCCCAGAGTGCTAGCCAAGGAGCATCATACATCACACAAGGGTACAAAAGACACTGGCGAAGGTCCAGTATTGCCTGGGATTCCTACAACCCTGGTGAACTGAACACAAGATCAAGTGTGGTCAAAAGTGGCGAGAAGAGAAAGAATGCTGGGGTGAAGCAAAGGACAGTAGGTTTTGACTTGAGTACCGAGTCAGCAAGCAGTACTAGTGGAGACAGCAAACCATCTAGGAGGAGACCTGCCAGTGCAGGTCAGAGGTCAACAGGTCAGGGGTCAAGTTCAGGTGAAAGGTCAGTGAATGCATCTGGAGGTCAGAGGCCATGGTCGGCTTCAAGGTCATCCACAGCCATCAGGGAATTTGAAGAGGACTTTCTGTCAATTCACAGTGCAAGCTTCTCTATGGGAAAAGGTAAGAACCCGTCTTTTTTGGCAATGCCTCAGGGGGGAATGTTTATCAAAGCTGGCATTTTTTAATTGCAGCTTTACATTCAACACTTGTATATTCTACACCATTATGCAATCATACATTGATTACGAACTGTAGATACATTTCTCAAGCGACTATCACATGAAAACTTTATTGTAAGCCATATAATGTTTCAAACAATATATATAGCAGTCAGAAAGTTATTTGAAACAACTTGAAGGTAACATTCCTATATGGTGTCAATTCCAGTTTTAGACATGTCTAGAGAATTGTTAAGTGGCTGAGGATTCGGAGACAGGGAAACTGATGCTAGGAGAGGAGGTACCTTTTGAACAAGTTCTGTGAACACTCAGGTTGACAACATTAACTCAGTTGTTATCAAGTTTATGTCAATGCGAAGTATACTATTACTAGTAATGTTTTTGTTATACAGCATCGTTACCTTTGAACTTATACAAATGTTTGGTTTCAAACCATGTTTGTTTCGTTCTTTGTTCAGTTGATATTTGAAAGTTTAACATTTTGACCACTTTGTTGTATCACACCTAAATTGTTTTGTATACTACAGCATATTACCATTACCAAGGACCTTTGTTTAAATGAAAGCTCATCTGTGTTGGACTTTTGTTTGAGTTAGACAGCAGTACAGAGGTGATATACAATCATGATTGACATTATATGTTTGGAAAACATTAAATGGCATATGACTGATTATAAGGTACATGTATAACAATCTAATAACTCTTTATCCCTCTGTTCCAGGTTCCTCCAAACCTGTGATGAAGTATCATCTAGACAACCAGACATATGCTAAAATTCTTACCATGGTAAGGACAATAATAAGTCAATGATTTTGCAGTTTGTGTTTGTGTTGTGTGTGTGCATGTGTGTGTGTGTGGTGTGTGTGTGTGTGTGTGTGCATGTGTGCGTGCGTGTGTGCATGTGTGTGTGTGTGGTGTGTGTGTGTGCATGTGTGCGTGCGTGTGTGTGTGTGTGTGTACAATGTGTGTGGTTTGTTATTTGCAATACAGTTCAGTGACAGCAGGCAGAGGGAGGAATTTCCTAACCATAGACTACAAAAGACACAGGAAGTTAGGTTCCAAAAACATTTGTAACACAATAGAAGAGAGAATCTTTGTGGTTTTGCAATCAATGAATAATGCAAGCTAAAAAACAAAGCAAGAATGTAAAAATGTACAGTAAGTTACAGCATCTTTGTTACCATCTAATTTGCATATACTCCTAATTTGGATAATTTGCATATGCTCCGCCCCTGCAGACCCCCCGTGGAGACAGTGATGAGAGCCCGTGGTTGTTCCTGCCTGATGAATTACTGTTGTACATCCTGGGTTTCCTGTCCCAGTCTGACCTGGCCAGGGTAGCCTCCACGTGTCAGCACTTCTACAGGGTAGCCATGGACGAATCTCTCTGTAAGAACACACTGTTTGTCCAAGTCCCTAAACATTTAGAAACCATCGGATTCCAACAAAATGTACTGAAATTAGTTTTGAAATGAGCTATGAAAGGTCTTTGAATTTTGGACATTCTTGAATGTTTGCATTCAACATCAACTTGTTCTGCATATTGGTCAGACCTGGTAAAATGTGACCAGTAGATTTGTTTACTGAAATATTATTCTATTTCCTGCACTGTAGGGAGAAACATCACACTGACCAAGAGGACTGACTTGAGTGATGAGATGCTGGGTTACATAGGCCAGCACAGTCCACAAACTCTGAGACTTCTCCAGTGTACAGGCGCTACAGTCACAGAGAGGGGGCTCAGGGACCTTTTCAAAGGTTGTAAGGACTCTCTAAAGGTAATCGGATTTTTCACCATAGTGATGATTTTTATGGAACATGATCTGCATAAAAGTCTAAAACTGTGTATTAAAATCACAACTCTCCTCACAACTGAGCATACCCAAACACTATCCATACACAGGTGAACATGCCTGTCCTTGGTGCTGAACACTATCCACACACAGGTAAACATGCCTGTCCTTGGTGCTGAACACTATCCACACACAGGTGAACATGCCTGTCCTTGGTGCTGAACACTATCCACACACAGGTGAACATGCCTGTCCTTGGTGCTGAACACTATCCACACACAGGTGAACATGCCTGTCCTTGGTGCTGAACACCATCCACACACAGGTGAACATGGCTGTCCTTGGTACTGAACACCAAAAATTGTGTATTTTTAGGAGCTGAATTTCAGTGGATGCAGTGGAGGAGCTCTAACAGGGGACCTGGTTCTACTCCATGCCTCCTCCAGATGTCACAACATCACATCTCTGGATGCCAGCTGGAGCAACGCTACTAACAACGGAGCTATGGCTGTAGCAGACATCAGTAAAAGGTAGTATATCTCTCAAAAATAATTTCACTTCAGTTGTTAGACCATAGGATATTGGAGTTTACTTTTACACAACCAGTAATATCTCACAACTTGCTTATGTTTCAATGTTTATCAGACTGTTAAAAATGTTCAGAAAACATTTTTTCTTTTATACATGATAGGTAGTAACAGTCAATGCAACAAATAAAAATCCACATACACCTATCTTTGTATATAAACCCAGTACTTGTTAGGTAGACATCAGAAAAACCTGCACAGCTCCAATTTTACCTGCACTAACCTTCATATGAAGGTAGTATATTTTGCCCTGTTGTAGAATAACTCCATTGTGTTTTCTGTATGTTCCAGACTGGAGGTTCTATGTGTGAACGGGTGCCAGAGTATCACAGACGAAGCGCTGAATTACGTAGTGAACAGACATGGCGGCACTCTGCAGGTGCTGGAGGTCTTCGGATGCTTCAACATCACGCAGCAATGCCTGCTGGGAATGTCCCAAAACTGCTCTAACCTCAGGGTCCTCAACATGGGACAGTGTTACAAGGTCAGTGGTATACTATACTGAAACTTTTCTTCTTTTTCTCCCTCAAATTCCCACGATCATGATGATGATCATTCTGGCATACTCATTTGCACCTGAGTGAAGTCGTGTAAAGTGCCTTTCCCAAGGGCACAAGGTTGGTGACATGGCAGGATTGAAACCAGGGACATCGTGGTTCTGAGCTGAGCCAAGGGCTCTGCCGTTACACCACACGACTTGACAACTTTTTGCGGTGATTTTATTTTCATGTTTTTCCTGGTGACTTCTCAAATTCACAACACTATTGATATGTTTCCTTTCAATGTTTTCCTCACTAATGTACCACAAAATGTTTCAAGCACAAATCTAGAATACAGTGAAAACCACCTTTTATCTTCTACTTTCCCACTGCAGTCATGCAAGCAGTTTTTGTCTGTCTTTACTAACGAAACCTGAATTCTTGTTGAAAGCTAAAACTTTTGTTCCAGCACAAGGAAGTTTTTCTCACCTAGAGCTTTCGAGCAGTCACTCTGGTCTTCCTCAGTAGACTGACCCAGTGAGACTCGTGGTTTATCTGAAGTGTGACGTCAACACTGGATCAACTACCAACACAGATGAACTTTGATGATAGTAAATCTGTATTCTACACATATTTAATACTCTGTTAATGTCTTCCTGTGCAGGTTACTGACAAACTGATCAGACAGATGGCTGGGAAACTGAAGAGTTTGGAAGTCTGGGATCTGAGAGGATGCAAACAGGTCAGTACATTGGAAACACACTTGCACACAAGTTACAGGTACTGAACATGATCCACACGCAGGTGAACATGCCTGTTCTTGGTGCTGAACAGTAGTCAGACAATAGTACACATACCTGTCCTTGGTGCTGAATGCCATCCACACACAGGTTAACATGCCTGTCCTTGGTGCTGAACACTATCCACACACAAGTACACATGCCTGTCCTTGGTACTGAACACTATCCACACACAGGTGAACATACCTGTCCTTGGTGCTGAACACTATCTTCACACAGGTGAACATGCCTGTCCTTGGTGCTGAACACTATCCACACACAGGTAAACATGCTTGTCCTTGGTGCTGAACACTATCCACACACAGGGAAACATGCCTGTCCTTGGTACTGAACACTATCCACACACATATAAAAATGCCTGTCCTTGGTGCTGAACACTATCCACACACAAGTACACATGTGTTTGTCATTTATCTTATAAGTAAAATCATTATGATGTTCCCTTGTCTTAATGTAACTGTATTTTTCTAAAGTCTCTTAACATTCAAGGTGTTTGAATGTGAGTGTATTTTTCTGAATTTTCTTAAGGTTCAAGATGAGTCGGTGCACCAGATAGTGCGCTGCTGCAGTAGACTACAGACCGTCACCCTGGCTAACTGTCCTCTGGTCACTGATGTGGCTCTGGTGGAAATTGCTACATATCTTCCAAACGTCCGGTAGGTAAAACCTTCCCAAAAACTAAAAAGAAACTCTTGCTAGCAACAAATATGTTCACCACTTTTCAAAATACACTTTGGCCTTTTTTGTTCTTCATTTCAGCTATGTCCTGAACATTTTGGTAACTAGTGTGTTGGGATAAATGTTAACGTTGAATATGTTGGCTAGTACAAATGTATGTTGTATTGAGGTGTTCAAAAACCTGTTTTTCCTACAAGAATTATCATAGAGTGGAACTCGCTGCCAGTAAAGTAGGGACATCTTCCCTAGATAGCTTTGAACAATGCTTATAGTTACACCTAGCAAAGGCTAGGTGTAACAAGTCGTTTTGTGTAATGTAGCCAGCTGCCGTCACGCCGTATGCCTGCGAAGCTGGTGTGTTACGTAGAGGTGCTCTTATACTGGCTATACAGATACAGATAGTAACAGTAGACCATCTGTTTTAAAATTGTGCTGATTTTGGCTTTCAAGACCGGTAAATTAACACTTATGTATTTGCATGCATTCCAGGTGTGTTGATGTGAGTGGCTGCAGAAATGTGACTGACTCTGGTGTTCGGGCATTTGCCAATAACAGCAAACAGCTGACATACATAGACCTCAGCTCTACTGCCATCACAACTAAAAGGTATTGTACCATAATGCTAATGTGTCTAATGGCTGTCCTTGGTGCTGAACACCATCCACACACCGGTGAACATGCCTGTCTTTGGTGCTGAACACTATCCACGCACATGTAAACATGCTTGTCCTTGGTGCTGAACACCATCCACACACCGGTGAACATGTCTGTCCTTGGTGCTGAACACTATCCACACACAGTTAAACATGCCTGTCCTTGGTACTGAAAACTATATACACATGCTTATCCGTGGGCATATTGTTAAGTTGAAAGTAATGATGAATACTTCCTTGTGAACCTGTTCCCTTTTCACACATCTAGAAGATATTTACACCCATATCTGAAAGCTAAACTAGCAGTAGTATGTTGTTTTATTACTACAGTGAAAAAAGTTTTATACAGTTATCTACATTTTTGCTGATGTAAAAATGTGTTGTTTTTTTCAGTGTAACCCTGCTGGGCAGCTATTGTAACAGAACTCTGGAGACTGTCAAACTCAGCTTCTGTGACATCACTGAGTCTGCTGTGGTCAAACTGGTCAAGAACTGTCCAAGGTATGATGTGTATGTGTGTATGTGTGTTTAGTGTGTATGTGTGTGTAGTGTGTATGTGTGTGTGTGTGTGTTTAGTGTATGTGTGTGCGTGTATGTGTGTGTGTGTGTGTGTACATGTGTGTGTGTGTGTGTGCATGTGTGTGTGTATGTGTGTGTAGTGTGTATGTGTGTGTGTGTGTGTGTTTAGTGTATGTGTGTGCGTGTATGTGTGTGTGTGTGTCTGGGAACTGCAGACAGAATTCTTTGCAGAATTCTACAGAATTGGGTTAATCCCCGAGGGGTCCTCAATGGCTGCTATTTATACATATTTCTTCCATTATTTTTACTTATAGTTTACTATATTAGCCCATCTAGATGTAAGGTTGCTGAGATATGGGGTTAGTCCGGAATTAAACCGGAAGTCTGGAATTAAACTGGAGGATAGCTGTTATATGTGCAAATATGCCACAATGTCCACTACTGGGATGTGTGAAATACAACAAAGCAGATTTTAAATGTGAATTCCAACATAAAATAATTGGACTGTTGACAGAACAAAACTTAAGCTTCATCATGAGTTATACCATGAATAGTTACAGTTCTACTGTTTGTCTCCATAGTTATTTCTACCATGAGCACAGACATACTCTCAGTCTTTTGTTTTTCCTCCCTTTTGCAGACTTCAGACCCTCCATGTGATAGGTTGTAAGCGGATCAGGAATGACGGTGCAATCAAGGTGGCAAACAGCAAGGTGGCTGTGGAACTGGGCAGGAAGTAACACAGTCTCAAGACTTAACCCTCGTCCTACTAAGGTAGCCGTTTGGCACCAAATTTGTATCAGGCCACACCAATTTGATATATTGCTTCTTGGATATTTTCAGAAAAAATATGAAGTGATAAGGCGAAAAAGAAACGGACCTACCTAGGCATCCTCTGATAGTCCCAAAAGATACTAGTATGTATTACGTGCAATGAGGTCAACACACCAGGCTGGTTTTTATTTCAAACAATGAATTTTAACGTTTTTATCAAACTAATGTATTGATAGACGGATAAACTGTAACAACTAGGGAGCCAAGGAGCTGTTTGGACCAAAATACGAGCATTTTGGAGTATATTCAGAACCTTAATTTTTTTTGCAAATCAGAAAAAAATGAAGCAGATGAATCCGAGAAACAGTTAATTAAAATGGTGTCCAGATTCAAACTCAAAAGTGTACTTGATAACTAGAAAAACTGAATACTTGTGATATTTTGTACAGTTTTTGTAATTATTCTTGTAGCACTGGAAAAAAAATGAAATAGTGGAAATCATGGCATTGTGGAAGAAATATCAATGTGGAAAAATTTGAAAGAAATTTGTTACATACTAAAGAATGAAAGATAACCATGAAATTGTGTACAGAACTAGATTTTATATTGAAACAATCCTGAAAAGTGCAGTAGGCATTTGCAAAAAGACAATCATTGCCAAGAATACAATGTATAGGACAATCTTAATATTATGTTTTTAGGAGATTGATCTAGATTCCGATGGGTCAAGAAAATGCATGCATCTTAAACATAGAAATAATTTACACATTGCGATTTTAATAGTGCTCTTAAATATGTTTTTATATTGGGAATAGCAATATATAGTTATATACACTTGTTCCATACAAGCCACAGTACTGTGAAGACTTTTAAAAGCTGAATATTGCTGTCTTAGTGCCTTGATAAAGTGCAATACAAGGTTCTTACAATGCATTGCAGCTATTCTTTTCACCATTGAAAAATATTTCTTTACTTACTTTTTGTGTGTTGCATATCTTTGTTTTATTAGTGTGTTCAAGTGATTTGGAGTGTGGAAATTACTAATTTTCTTTTAAGGTTTGTTTTGGAATGACTTGTTTAACTCAGTTGTAAAATCTACGTTTATATTCTTATTTTGTTTGGTATACATTGTACATTGTATTTTTTCCACAATAGATATTGCATTGTGCAAAGTACATAAAGGCAAAAATAGCTTTAGAATTTAGATTTTGATATTATAATTACTAGTAATCTTATTCTTCTGGTTATGCCATAAATAGGGTGTGGTCATGGTTGCTAGGTAACATGGTTGCTAGGTAACATGGTTTCAAGACACCCCCATAACTTTGTCCAAGAAAGCTGCAAACTTCTCAGGTTGTCCGGGAGGAAATGTCTTGAGTTTGCTGATGTCCATGTCTTTAAGGAGATGTCTAAGGTTGCTGCAAGAAACAACATGGCTCAATAAATATGGATGCTTTGAAAATGTTGTCTCTTATAACTCTAGTTTTTGCATTCTATTCAAGATTGTTGCAAGCTTTGCATAGGATCTGATCAGTTAATTCTTACGATAAAATATTCATATATAATATGGTCAGACAGGAGTCTAAATCCCTCCTGCTATAAAATTGCAACATGATGTAACCCAACACTAGTTACCATGGCAACAGACTGGTTCAGGTCATTGACCTTTTTGGTTTGGAGAAGAAGCAGGAAGAAGAAACAGCAAAAACAATATGTTTTCCTTTGGCAAACATAAAAATATATAAAATATCAAATGCACCTGCAGGTGGCATAATACAGGTGCCCATCCTTGTACAGCTGGTTGGCCAGTTCCAACTGGTGATTATTCATGAGTGTCTCGTTAATGACCACCACCAGGGGCTTCCCTGCTCCCAGGGTCTCCAGACAGCTGCCTGCACCTGAAGATACGGGAGTGACACAGTACAGTTGCTCCCTCTGGCAGAATTCTCTGGAATTGCACTGCCCTGTTATTGAAATGCTACACCTGATCTTCAGTTTGGAATAGTAAAATCAAGTCAACATCAACAAAGATGATCATCAAGCGGAGATTTTTTTGGTTTAGTGCAAGACATAAAACCAAGGCAAGATATCCATTTGCTGTGCAAAGATGTAAGATTTTGGCTTGCATACTAGTTAACAGATACCAGTGCGAAAAAGAACGCCCAATTAAAATGCTTAAAAACACATCAAAAAGAACTTGAAGCCTTAACGGTAAACCTCTCCTTGAAGGGTACTGCTACCAACACTAATTATCACTGAAATATGATTTAAAACTTCGGCTTCCAAGACATGCCACTTCTGTGGGTAAGTTTACAAGTTACACTTTATCTGGATCAGCATGAAATCAACACTCATATACACTGTAGTTAAACTTGGCCACTGACCTGCATGGCTGATAACCAGGCTAGCATTCTGTATATCCTCAGCAATGGTGTCTTTGAACCTGAAGTATTCTAGTCTAAACCCAGGCTTGGTGAAGGCCTCTGGTTCATACTGGCCTCTGCCTATCTGTAGTAACAGCCTTGTGTACCCCAACTCTTCAAGTAGCTGCAAAATGTACAAAATATATGTTTTGAAGAAGACGACGAAATGTACAAAATATATATTTTGAAACTTAGTAGCCTGGGTGCCAGGCTGTTTCCTGGGCTTTCACAGACTAGCTCTTCAGTATACCTTAAGGAAATTTTCTTGGGGGCATGTTAGCCCTGGAACCGAGGAGTTGGCCTGTGCAGCCCCTGGTAACAGTCTGGCACCCAGGCTAAAACTTAGAGAACTTTAGTAGCCTATTTTCTGGACGTTTAACTAAATCTGTAACTTAGCTGAGTTGAGATTATAACGATCGACTTTAAACTATCTTACCTTACAAAAAGTGCTGATAGAAACCAGTTCTATTAGCGGGTCAAAACTAGTTGTTCCTACGGTCACAAAAACACATTTTTCTCTCTCCGACATTTTCGATTGTTTACATTAGCCTGTCCCATGCACAAAACATTGTGCCTAAAAACAATAGCATATTTGACATAAACAAAGTATTCTATTATCATAATCTGATAAATTAATACGTTTCTATTATTCATTTAAGTATTTGAGACTAATAATTTTCTTTGATTTTGTTATGTCGTTCAAAATGTTATTTTTTTCAGTTAGGCGGTAAAATTATTTTGATAGCCACCTATAAGGTCAAAGGTGAAAACAAAATGGCCGCTGCTGCTGAAAAAATTTTGCCGTCGAGTGACGAATGTGTCTATACTGCCTGTTATTGGTAAGAAATATGGATAACTTTCACTTTTTCTTTGAAAATATGTTCTTAGGAAAGTGTCTGGTAGCTCTTGTTTCCGTAGCTTTTCCCTTAGAGGCGCTTGTTTGAAAATAATATACACCAATGTCCTAATTCCTTTGTTCGTGCTTATTATCCTCCATGTTATTACTATGTAGTGGCACTGAGACCTGTTTATGTGATAATGTATGTATTGTTTTGCAAGATATGCAAAAAAATCAATCTTTTTGTTCTCTAACTAGAACCTAGATAGCCAAAAATATGTGTATTACGTTATCATGATTTGTATATGGACTGTATATCGTAACTGTTACTAGTATAATTTCAACATTCTGCATTTCCTAACATATAGATTTGATAGATCATTACATAATATGTATGACATAATTGATCCTTATTACTAGTAGATAGTTATATATGACATAATAGTGGAAATGAGCAACATAGAACCGTACTATGAACATAATTAAGTAGAAAAATTTTGCTTATGCTTCAATGCCTTTATGGTAATTGATACTTGTCATATGTAAATTAGATTGAGATGAAATCACAATTATGCAAATGAGTATCAATTATGCCTATGGGCAAATCTTTTGTTGTGTAACAATAGCTAATGATAAGACCTTTATTGCACACAACTGTAGCTATAGCTGTTACAAATTATGTATGGCCACTTGTACATGAATGGAAATGTATTGCTATTAAATATCTAACAATTCGAGAGACTATTGTACTTTTATGAAAAGCATTGAAAACAATTTGAAGCCTTTGGGGTGGAGGAACTGGATTTTCAATTTTTCTGTCCTAAAATTGGATGCTATTAATTACTAGTATGCTAATAATACTGTAATAATCGTAAAATGAATCTATTTGTGTCTATCTACAGTGAGGAGAATATCTACAAGTTATGTGAGTGGATTCGGGACAACACTTCTCGCATTCAGGAGTTTTATGTGGTGTTTATCTCCAACTCTGCCCAACAGGTAACAAACAAACAAACAAACAAACAACTATCTCGTGCCCACACACGGCTCATGCACTATCAAGAAATTATTATCAATGTGACAATTTACTTTCTTGCTAATACTACTCTCATCTGCCGAATAAACATACCCCCCGGAATAAAAGTACCCGCCCCCCGACAAATCTTCAAAATCAAATAAACATACCCCCGGAATAAACGTACCCCCCGGAAAATTACCAAAATTGACGGGTAACCTGTGTCTCTTGTACTAAAATGCACCCTTACTGATATATGCACAAATCTTTAACTGTTATTTGCAATTAGGAATTTAAATAGACAAAAAAAAGAGCATTTAATATTTTGTATTTTGATAAGCACTACCCATGACAATAGAACATTCAGACGAATTTATGCACGCGGTGATTGCAAAAACCGGCCCGAAAATGACATGTTTCTCGCTACAATATGCGTTTATAAACGTCTTCACATCGATGATTTGTCAATTTTTTTCAATTTTTTTCACACGAAGTTGAAAAAAATTACTGGTTTTCAAAAAATTAATAAACGTACTGTGCAAAATAAGAACGTACTGGGTGGATGTTTGGGCCCAAAAGAATAAACGTACCTGTATGTTTATTTGGCAGATGAGAGTAGTAACATCTGTATCAATGTTTTAGCTAGCTTTCTTGAGAATACTGTACTTTATACTCACAGTACTTTAGATTTACTAGTACATTTGCAGTTTTCGTGGTCACTTCTGTACCACGAATTTATCATTACCACAAACAAATAATTTGCTGACTTTCTTCCTTCTGCACTTGCCAATACTTTGAACATGTCCATTTTTCTCAGGCCACGAAATTTGGCGTCCGCAAATATAAAGTGATTTACAGTATTGTTAAATACATGAATGCTATTCAGAAATAGTTACAATTGCTTTTATTTATAATACAGGTGCCCCTATGGATGCAGAAAGCAGGAAGACAGTATGGCCCTGGTAAACCTGTAGTTTGGGTAAGTTTAACTATGAAAATATTATCATAAATGAACTTTTGGAACAGTCCATTTGTGCATAGGGGTGATTATGACAGTAAAACAGCCAATAGCATGTAGGATAAATTATGTGGGAGGACATTTTTTTGAACTTGATTTCCTGTAAATGTAGAAATTTTTCTCCAGTGAAAATTCATGACATTTTGAATCTCTGCCATTATGCCACACCACCCCACTTTTCTAACCTGGGTACCCTCTGGATTTTGCTATGCTACTTCATTTTTTCTAGCGGAGTGGAGCAAAATCCGGATGGTACCCAGGCTACCACGTTTCTATTAGACTAAAGAACCATGTGAACCACAGTCTGTAATGATGTATATTTTTTTTCTGTAGGACTACCATGTAATCCTTCTGCACCAGAGAGAAGGTCAGCAGACTGATGTGTACGATCTAGACTCCATGTTGCCGTTTCCTTGCAACTTCTCCCGGTACTGCACCGCTACCTTTCACAGTGATGAAGAACTCAGGCCCCAGTTCCACAGGTCAGACCCATGTTTGTATGAAGGAATTGATTTATTATATAAATAATTGATGAGTAATGTTAAAGGAAAGGAAATGAAACACAACCTATTTTCTCACTTGACTCAGGTGTAAATGAGTACCTAGCTTCAGTTAGGGACGCCCTCTCAGATAGGCAGGAGGTCCAGTTAAACATCCTACCACACTATAATCATAAAGAGCAGGGGTTCTTCCCGATGTGAGTGGTTCAAACCTTATTACAGTCTGGTTTCAGGTTTGACATCTTGAAGAGGTGATAGTCACCTGTTATGTCAATCCTTCTACAAATGTGGTAAAGTTTCAAGAATGAACTAGAGAAGTAACATTTGCAAAGCAAGTACATAATGTTTACCTTCGGACATGACATGGTCTGCCCTGTTAATTTTTACTCAAACATATTCCACATACATGTACTAAGAGTATATTAATTTTTATTTTTTTATTGCTATTGTACAAATAAACAAATAAAAAAACAAACATATGGTGACAGGACTAGAGCAGACCATGAAATTGCCACATTACGTAACCCAACACCAGTCACCATGGTGACAGACGTCAACAAATCATGTCATTAGCCAGGTCAGAGGTTAGTGTTAGGAACAGAAGAGGAGGAGGAAGAAACTGAGTAAAAACAATATGTTTTCCTTCGGTAAACATAATAAATGTATACATGTAATGTTGAATGTACTTTATGTTACAACATCTGCCTGATATGTTTTCTTCAGGAAGTTCCGTGTGGTCCCAGCCACAGACTACCTGATGGTCTTTGCCTCCGACCGGTCTCACATGAGGGTCGCAGACGGATGGATGTCACCTCCACCGGAGTACCCCTGTATCAGGAACGATAGTAAGTACATTCTTCTTACATGTACAGTATTTTTGTGCAAAAATGCATGTATCTTATATATCCAGGATTCAAGATACTTTTTTTCAGTTATTGCGTGTTGGAAGAAAATTTACATGCATTTCAAATAATCTACATGCAAAATTGAAGTCCAGCCTTCAGTATTCTGTAGAAATACAACAAAATACATGCTAGTAAGAAAACAACAACACCACGTTCTTACTATGATAGAGGGAAATTTTTACAAAGTAGTTAGTGGAATGTTAAATTGTGGGTCACTTTGGGTGAATGAGGGAGTCTATTCCTGAGGTTTTCTTGTTCTCTGTCTTGTCTTGTTGCCATGCTTTTATTTAAGATTGAGAAGACCATGTGTCTGGTCTAACACACTCAGTTTTCCTTGGTCCCCTATGTGGTTTTCTCACACAAGTTTGAAATTATTTGTCCATCAAATATGATTCAATATTCAATTGAAAAAATCTATTTTAAATTTAGTTTGGATGTTGAATGTACTTAGTGTTTTTTGTTCAGATTGTCTTGCTTTTTACTCAGCTCTTTGTAAAAATCAGAGCACACTTCAGGGATGCGTTATACATTCCCCACTTTTGTACAATTTTTTTGAATTGAAAAAGTTGAAATTGAATGTTCAACACTACTGTTTCTTTCTCCCAGTGAGTACGATGAATCTGCCGATGTTTATTGACATGACTCCCAGCACATTTGTGGGGGAAGTTCTCAACCTCAAGACCTTCAGACTTCGCTTCCGGACTCCGACTGTCGAAGAACAAGCCCTGGCCCCTGATCCTAGTTAATATGTATGGTTTACCCATATTAATGCATGGATACGTCGATGAAGGTTAGACATCCAGGTAATACGATATGCCAAAAAACAGTTACTCAAGCAACTGGATATGATTTTGAAAACGTCAGACGTTTCAGCTAGTATCCACTAGCTTTCGTCAGTGACTGAGAGACCAGAGGGGAAAGCAGGTTTATATACACAACCTGTTGATTGATATGCAAATAAAGTGAAGACAAATTTTTGGAAGTCGAAAAAGGAACAAAAGTCAGACAAGTCAAGACAAGATGATGCAAATTAGTCTGAAAGCTCCTGTTATACAGCACAGGAGCTTAAGTGTTGTCTGTCCTCGGGGCTGGGGGTGCCAAATCCCAAGTGCCGGAAAGATCGACCCGTAGCCCCCTTCCTGTTGAGGGTGATTTGCATCATCTTGTCTTGACTTGTCTGACTTTTGTTCCTTTTTCGACTTCCAAAAATTTGTCTTCACTTTATTTGCATATCAATCAACAGGTTGTGTATATAAACCTGCTTTCCCCTCTGGTCTCTCAGTCACTGACGAAAGCTAGTGGATACTAGCTGAAACGTCTGACGTTTTCAAAATCATATCCAGTTGCTTGAGTAACTGTTTTTTGGCATAATGCATGGATAGTGCTTAGTGTGCACTAAGGCAATGTTAATGTGATTATATGAATGACATCCTCCAGGCACTCCAAAATTGATGCGTGTTCACAGATGTCATTTATATAATCAATTCAGTGTGGCCTAATCATTAGTAAGAACTATGATATTTGACTTGGATTGGTTGAATATGGTTGAAGATAATTATACAAACTGAAGTTTACCTGGCAACATCTCAGTGTAACCATCCAATATGGTGGACAATAGTACTGTAATACATTGATGATGATTACTGTAATTCACTTTGTCTTCACGTTTACAAAATTTCTGGGTCTGAGAAAAATGAATCTTCATGGTGGGAGCAAGAGAGGGGGGGTGAAAGAAAAATAATTTGTTAATGATAACAATAAGTTCACAGTACGGAAGTGACTGTGAAAAACGTGAACATTAAAGTACCACGAAAAAATTAAGAATACTTATGTCAAAATCACATGAACATAATCTATATTCTCATAATAGAAATACATGTACATTTTTCATGTATTTACTAAATACCTCCACAGTCCATACTGACGTATATATATGCATGGGTGTATACAATGTTGGATATAGATTATACCACAAGTACTGTGATAAAATAATTAACATTTAGAATAGCAGGGATCAGTGTCCAACAAATGTTATTTATTATGAAGTAAGTTTAAACTGTAATGTCCAACACAACAAAAATTGGACTCACCCAAATTTTCGACTGTACAACTCCAGTCTTTTTCAACTTTACAGTTTAAACTTACTTCATAATGACTTATACCAACACTGATTTACTTTCAAGATAAAATGTTATTTATGAGTTTTTCCTTTGAGCGCTTGTGCAACAGTTCAGTTGTTTATTGGGACAATGTAAATATGAGGTGTTTGTTTATATTTGCTGCATGTAAGGTTATTTTGCATAACTAACTTCTCAATGTGTAGCCACTGTGGGAATGTTTTTTGTTGTAGGATTTTAAAAAATGCTATGAAAGAGTTGACTAGGTTCTAATAGGAGCGATCTCTGTTTTTGTTTACATCATATACATGCAAATTATTTGAAGACATATGCAAATTATTTGTAGGCAAATCAGCCAACCGTCACCCGCTTTTTGTCTACCACTTTCTGGCCAATAGCTCATACATGAATTATGTATATAACTTTTCTGTCACTGTATTTTGTATGACATATTTCAACTGTCACAAATGCCCTCAATTTCTTAAAATGAATGTAGCCAAACTTTCAGGAAAATCATAATATGAATCATGTATTTTTTGTTTGTTTGAACAAGAAACTTTCAATAGGGTTTAACTAAGAGGGAGGAGTCATTCCTTCTGAATGTTGCCGTTTTCTCTATTTCAAATCTTTTTTTTATCAATAAGCAAATGTATGTAACATCATATTGCTTTTTCAACAAATTTTGCTCAAAATCTAGAAAACTTCTCTGCAAAGATGTAGTTACTTGTAGCATTGGTGGTCTGTGGTAGATGTGTGTTGTACTGTGAATGAATTAACAAAAATAGAAAAATAAACCAAAAAGTTGGAAGCTTATATGTATATTCAATGGCTGTTGCTGTGTTCTTTGACTGTTTTGTGTAGCTTTCTGTTGAGATGATAACAAGGAATTAGCTTTGGTTACATGGATAAAAAACGCCCTCTATAGTCATTGTCAGTACTGCAGCAGTGATGTGACGTTCATGCACTTTATACATCTTCCAAAAAAGTTCCAAATTTTATTTTGTATGAAAGGTGCGTTTTTTTCAGAGACTACGGTTTCGTAATCACTGAAAGAACAGAAATAGTTGACGAAAACGCACCGTATTTAGACGCTCGTACTAACCGTTCTAGGCAGGTTTGTCTCAAAATGATCAAATACAAGACTAAAACTGTTCTTTCCTGATGAATTTGTGATATTTACGAAGTCGGGGAGAGCCTCGAGGTCAAGAACAAGTGCAGGAAAGACCTAGAGTAAAACCCCCATAAGAGCCCATCGCGTTTCCCCACTCTCGAAATGGCCAAATCTGGGAATGAGCGAGGCTTCGTTAGCGAGATACGGGCCTTTTCGGAACGGGCGCTCGAAAACGGGGGTGTGATAGGGGATGAATTTCCGCTTTTTCAATTTTAAAAAATGGAAACTTTTGTCATCTTTCGATCTCCTTGTTTTCAGAGTATAATCCTTACAGTCTCTACTACATTCCTACTTATTGCCTTCTCCCAAAGTTACTTCATTCTCGAGTTATTCGTCGAAATGTGATTTTGCGATCAGCTGATCGCTTGCAGAACTGGTCAAAGTCTTTGCAGAAGTGGATTTTTCGCCGTCGGAGACATTACCATATGAATGAAAACCAAGCAGATGTTAGGAGGGAAGACCGTCAGAAAAGCCGAGATGTCTCTCAGAAAACAGTCCACCCAACATCTGCTTTGAGACCTTATCCGGTAATCTCCAAGCAGATACAAGGATCTGCTACATGCATAACAGCAATTAGCCTTCGGGCATGATTTTGCGAATAAAGTTTCTCTATATAACTGGATAAATTACGATAATAGTGTTTCTTGTTTCAGTGTTATCATCCTTGTAAGTATCTTTAATCACCGTTATTCTATAATAAGAAAGGGTATAATAATAAACGCGATGGACGGAAGGTTGCTGTGCCCGTCGTGTGGCGGTTCCAAACGCCGCGACTTCCGAAAAAGTCGCCCGGGAGGACACGTTTTCAGACACATACAACCTCCCACCTTCCTTCTTATTTGTATCATTAGCATACAGTAACGATGTAAACATCGCCCTGAAAATAGGGCTGGCCGTGGACAAAACAAGCCGGTGGCAGGGAAACCGGCGGCCTTCGACTTCAAGAACCACATCCTGGAGAACTTCGGCCTTCTGTGAGTCATTTACGGCTCCAATAAACCCGTGGCGATAGCTTCTATCTTGCCAAAAACGAGGAGGAAGTATTTTCACGTTAGTTTGTTGGCCCGCGGTAGCCATGATGATGATGCAGGGGCTGTACCTCACACTGGGACCTCGTTTTGGACCGCAACTAGACAGGTCAGTGAGGGCCTCTAGCGGTTCATGTTAGATTTGCAGTCACAGAATGCAGGTGTCGCGAACAGCGTTGGGTCCCGGTTTTCCGGTCTCCCCTTTACCATATATGGAATGCCGGTGTTACGGACAACGAAGGATCCCAGTCTTCTGGTCTCCCCTTTACCATATATGGAGTTCCTTGCCATATATGGAGCGAAGAGTGACATAACCCGTAGCAGCAGGTCTGGCCTGCAGTAATAACCTTCCGCAGTTAGGCGGCGCTTTTGAGCCGTGAGCTGAAGCCCCATGAACTGACAACGGAGGCGGGCAGCAGCACCGCTTTGAGACTGGATGCCGGACTCTGGACAGCACGGGACGATATCTCCCTTCGACCGGGGGACGCTACACGGCCCGAGCCCAAAGTTGGCACCCGGCCCGGCCTCTAAACATATCTCTTGGACGATAAATAATTTTAGGAAGGAGTGTGCCGAGATGGGAACGCGGTAGCGAGCCGTGATATGACGCCAGGAGCCGGTTGTGACGCCGTCAGAGATCGTGATGGAGGACCCGTGAGCATGCCGTGATGGGTGCCCGGTTGACGGGAGCGCTGCCCGGGCGCCTGACCCAGGCGCCAAAAAGGACCGTCAAGACCCAAAAATCGCACAAAAATTTAGGTCTTGGAACATGACTGCTTATAATTCTTCATTCCGTGTGCAGGTGTGTAACACGGTAAGGCTTTGCCGCCATCACTCTGCTCCTCCCCCGTAGCGGTTCATGAGATAGGCGGGCGTAGTGCTCTCGGCTACCGAAAGGAAACGGCTAACGGGCCGTGCCAAGGACTGAACTCAGTGAATTAAACAACAATCGTTCAGCTTATACCTACTTGTTATCCGTTTTATTGTTTGTTTACGTCCAGGTTCAGACTATTTTTAAATAGCAAAGGCTGTGGACGTGTGCGTGTATGATGAATGGGAGGGGTGGATGCAGGTTTGGCAGAAGCGGCGCTTTTATTAAAGCCACGAGCCCCGCACTCACAAGAGAGGCGGCCGGCCTAACAGTGAATCATCGAACGTCGTACAGCTTTATATTATATTTATTTCTCTGTACACATACATGTATTTTCAGTTCATCATCGTGTGAATTTGTGTACAGTTCTGTAACCTTTCGGGCCTGGCAAATAAATGTTTCCAGATCGAGTTCTAGCTAGCTGCCCTAGCATCTGCTTGGTTTCCATTCATATGGTAATGAGTTCGGCAGCGAAAACTCCACTTCTGCAAAGGAAGCGACGCGTTCTGCAAGCGATCAGCTGATCGCAAAATCACGTTTTGGCTAATAACTCCAGAATTAAGCAACTTTGAAGAAAGAAACTTCA